CCTAGTGGCGAGATGTCGCCTTTCTTGCATTACTGTGAAGCAGTACCGTGAAACAAGCTTACGCACCTATAATTGTATGCAATTTGCACCCCAAATTTTGCTCCAAATTTTTGCATACTTCATGCTGACTATACTTGTCAAAGTTTTGTTTTTTATGCGCGCATTTTTCTTCCGTTCACTGTTCATTTTACGTGTTATTTCTTCCTAAATTTCACTGATAACGTTATGTTGTTTTGGGCGTGTTCCTTTAGCAAGTGCCGAGTCTTGTGAAACTCTAGATACACACCAATCATTTTTTTATATACGTGTTATCTGTTACACAAGCCAGCAGGGAGTTTATTTTTTTGTTCGCCTTTTTTTGCGTGTTTTGTATCGGAGCAGTACTCTTTTTCTTTGTCAGTATGAGATGCCGTCCATCTTTGTGCGAATATCTCACAGCGGCCGCCTCTTGGGCATCCTGCCGTTATGGATGTCGCTTGCAACATCGCTGCACTTGCGATTGCTCACCTTCTGTCGTTTGTTGTTTTTTGTAGCATGTGAATCGATTGAGGAGTTTCGCAAGTTAGTTTTCAACTTTGCCACCTCTTGCTCAAATATGCAATTGACAAAAGAGAAAAAGATATCTTGCCTCAAAATACGATGTAATAAAACGTGTTTATAGAACATTCTTTGAAAGCAGAGCTTTTATATAGCCTGGTGTAAAGTGCAGGGCTGCGCCTGCAACCTATCTGCGTCATGAACGAGTACGTGCCACATAATTTGGGCTAGTCCAACTACTCACTGCTTTGGCGTGGTCTCTATTTGCTCCAAAAATAAGTACAGAAAGAAAGAAAGAAAGAAAGAAAGAAGGAAGGAAGGAAGGAAAGAAGGAAAGAAAGAAAGAAGGAAAGAAAGAGAGAAAGAAAGAAAGAAAGAAAGAAAGAAGGAAGGAAAGAAAGAGAAAGCTTCTCTTCGAAAGAAATTCGCGTGTCGGGATGGGATCCCCATGTACCCTTTACCTAAATGCGAGCTTCTTAACCAGTCGACTATCCGGGCACGCCAGCAGCTCATAGCACAGCCTTGTATCGTGTAGCAAGGGGGTGGGAAAGGAAATTGAGGTTGAGGAGGAGAGAAAGGAGGAGGAAGTAAAACACACACACACACACACACACACACACACACACACACACACACACACACACACACACACACACACATATATATATATATATATATATATATATATATATATATATATATATATATATATATATATATATATATATATATATATATTCTCCCCTCCCCCTCTTTCGCCCTCGCAAGGCCGTCTGCTAGTAAAAAACCAGCTGCTCCCTCTGCACAACCGTTCACTGGTCACATCGTATTTGTAGGCATTGGATCCCGCGTTCGGAATTCAGTCAAGGGCGTCTTAGCTTTCGCTTGATGAGCGCCAGCGTCAGCGTCCGATTTTTCAAATAGGTCTAACACCGATTATCGAGAGGTAATGTGAGCGTAATGAGGAGCATATATCGTTCTGAAAATACTTCACCAGGGTAAGGTTTACCCGCCAATGTTTCCTTTGTAGGCCTGTGCACGCTAACAACAACAATAACAATAACAACAATAACAACAACAATAATAATAATAATAACAATAACAACAATAACAATACAACAACAATAACAACAACATCAACAATACTAATCATAATAATAATAATTTTATTTAATTAAACAAGAACAAAATCATTACATATGCCATTTTGTCTCTCTGTTTTTTTCTGTAAAACGCGTGCCTGTTCAGCAAGCAGTGTGCTGTATCCGTGTTCGCCACGATATGAATTCGCTAAGCGTCGGGATTATATTCGTCTAAAATTATATATACCAGTGTTTCAGCTCCACTCAGCGCCACGAACATTATGTAAAAAGCACGAATTTATGTTGTTTGTATTGCTTTAGATATTTCGGGTAATATTTTACGCACGTACTGCACTGTCGTATAAAAGAAATATATGAAGAATACTGTGCCCTTGATCTATTTTGATGGCGAGCTTTCTAGTTCGCTTAGAACCACCGCCGTTAAATCTTCTCGACTAGACCTAGAGAGTTTGAAGTTAACCTGTAAAGGAGTTAATGCAAAACAGAGAACGAAAAGACACACAAGACAGATGAGCCATGAAAGGAGCTCGATTTGAAAGAATCGATGACGTTTTCTGACTGTCGCTGCTTTTTTTTTATTTATTGCATTGCTTCGTTTCTCTTTAATGACCGTCTTTTGATTATAAGAGCATAAAATGAAAAAAAAAACATACGGGAGTTCGGGCAAATGATTTACCGCACGCGATGCTTGGAAATCGTCCGCGCAAACGGAGGCGGAAGAAGAAAAAAAAAAAAACTCGATTCCGTTGCGTGGTACAAATCTGCAAGGTATAGCAGCACCTCGAAAGCGGATGCACACAAGGCTGCTCCAATGGGCGCGCACTTTCGACTGACGTCACGAGCCGGACGGATGGGTGGAAGCGAATTTCTGGGGATCGATCCGCACAGGAACGTAGAAAATGGACAAAACAAAATACTTCGTATCATGTAGTAAGTGAAACTTCTTAGCAAATTATTGTTGCGCTCCCGCTTTTCTTAAAAATATAAAGTGTGCACTTGGTGATTAAGACAGGCGTAAGAGTCGCCGATGGGCGCAAAACTGAGAATGTAGTGTACACCAGTGAGAGGAGCACGTGTTAAAAGAAAATTCGCCCGAGTGAATCGCTGTATATTTGTATAAAAAGAAAGCAGGCGTTTTCGCAAGCCCCGTAGGAAACTAGGATTCCTGGCTAATGATCCGTTTTATGAACCTCCGCCATCTTTCGCTTGTGCTCTCCTGCACCATAAGCGGTTCTCTTATCGTCGCAGGCCATTCACTTTATATAGAGTACAAGACAAAACAGAAGTCGTGCGTAGTGGAGGCAGAGACTAAGCGCATTGGATAAAATGTGTAATAGGGTCTGCTCACGCGACAGCGCTCTTGGCTTCGGCACTGCAGAGTTTGCATCCGAGGCAGTACAAGTGAGTGCGCATGCGAACGGAAGCATTCGCGCCAGCGCTCAGCGCCTGTGTGCCCCCTGATGGCGTTTAATGACAGCCTTTCTCTCTCTCTCTTTCGGTCTGCCCCCTTTCTCAGTAGCGGTAGCAATGGCTGCCGGAACGAGTACCTCGTGGAGCAAACGATTCTTTCCGTGGTCAGTGCGTTGTTGTGCTGTCCGCCCTCGAACCGCGGAATGCCGGGCGTTCACACCGTCCGTTCACACCGTCCGAAATTTCTCGGGAAAGTGATGAGCTACGCGGTTAACCCAGGTGATTTTTGGCCATTGCAGTGATGTTTTAAAAGGCCCCCAAACAACCTCCGACAATAAAAACGAGTTCGTTGTTCCCTCTCGGCGTTTCCCGTCTTTGCGCCGCGATTCGGGATGCCAGCAGTTTTTCCCAGTGACGGCAGCATGAAATATATATATATATATATATATATATATATATATATATATATATATATATATAGAGAGAGAGAGAGAGAGAGAGAGAGGAGAGAGAGAGAGAGGTATGTGAAGAAAGATATATAACAGCTGCATCTTGCCGATACTTACCGACTGAGCAGGAACCTGAAGGCTTACAAAGAGGGTTCAGCTTAAACTGAGGACGACGCAGCGAGTGATGGAAATGAAAATGGTAATTGTAACCTTAAAAGACAAGAAGAGAGCAGAGTGGGTCAAGGGAAAAACCAGGGTTATGGATATCACAGTTTAAATCAAGAAGAAATGAAGACGGGCTGGGCAAGTGACTCGTGGGCAGGATAGCCGCTGTTCGCCTAGGGTAACTGACTGGATTCCCAGAAAAGGCAAACGCACGAAGGGGAGACAAAAAGTTAGGGGGGTGGGGGTGATTAGGAAGTTCGCGGTTATGAAGTGGCAGCAGCAAGCACAGGACCGAGTTGACAGTCTGAATATGGGAGAAGCCTTTGTCCTGCAGTGGGCGTAGTGAAGCTGGTGGTGATGATATATTTTGAATTATCTCCTACCCGGTTTCGCCCTGCAGTCACATGCTTGTTACCCTTGTCTCGCATGTCCGTCATGTGCGATAAACTGATTTCACATCGTTTTCTGCATTTGCAAGCAGAGATAGCATAGTACCGCCTAAAAGTCCAAGATCCTGACTGGTTTGACGCTTAGTTTTGAGATGTCACGTGGTTTACGAAGAAAATAAGTGACGAGGAGGAGGTGTCACTTGTAGGAAGGGTCGTGAAGGCGAAAAATAAGTTACTGTCTTGCCTTTGAAGTTGCCGGGGTATAGCGCCCTTCAAGTACGATAAAATCGGTACTCTCGTTTCTATTGCTGTGCGCAGGATTATCATCATTATATTTATTTGCAAATGCTTAAGGACAATAATTAAATATGAAGAGATCAAGCTGCAGGTATAATCCTCGCCTACCTTTCTGAAAAATAAATAAAATGTAGATATAGGTGGAAAGAAAGAAAATACGAAATCAAACCAATGACGCAGACAGGGACAAAAACGAGCACGTAAACACTTCGACGCAGGAGAAATGCCAGAGGCCCATGTGCTTGAATTTCGGCGCACGTTGTAGAATCTCGTGTGACAGAAATTTCTGCAGTGTTCACAGTGCGGTGCTTCTCATAATTATGTATTTGTTTGGGGACGTAAAACGCTAACAATTGAAATAACTGAAAACGTGTATGCCAGGTAGAAACGCATATGGTGAGGGAGAAGTGTAGTAGAGTTTGGAGGCATCTATCTAGGCGAGCACTGTTCAGAATTATCGAGCGGGATTGACGACCTCAGAAAGCCAGCGTTTTCAGGCATCCGCTTAGCGGAGATACATAATGAATCAGCCAGTGTATACATACCGCTAAGTGGCTATATTCTAATGGATGTTGTTTCGTTTTATTTCCTGGCTTATATCCCTGACCTCAGTGATACGTCTATTTATACGTTTTTTTTTTTTGTCTCAGACAGAACGTGACGTGGGACACTGAATGGACCGTCTTCATTTGTCCAGAGCTTGCCTCCTTGCTGACAAATTGGTAAGTTTACGCACGACTCGTCTTTGCGTGTACGTACGTGGCTGCAGTTTGTCTTGCCAGTTGTGCTTAAAAAAGAAGTGGATTTGGGCTTCTGCTTTCGCCGAGTCGCTTCAACAATTTTCTAGTCGCTTGCGGCGTTTTTTTTTTCTGTTTGCTTGTTTCTTTATGGGGGATTATTAGCAGTTTTCCAGTTTCCAGGAAATATACTTAATTTAGTGGTCATCACGTACAGCAATAGCACTTTAGTCGTTTCACTCATAGCGCGTTTATCCGATTACTTTTAGCAATAAAGTGTTGAAGTTAATCATACGTTGGGGGAACCAACAAGTAATGTTATTCAACCAGTGGCGAACGTGCATTAATCCGAAAGGAGGCTATCATGGAGGCAGTGTTAAAAAAGTAATTATGTGCGTTTGTTTATTGGTGCGGATATTCTCGCTGCAGAAAACAATTAGTGATTTCTTCAACTCCTCCTTGTGTTTAAGTGACATTTTTTATCGTAATAAGATTATTTTGAGCAGTAAAAAGTTAATTAAATTGCTGCTTCTTCTGCGGTTCTCCTCAAACGTATCGTCGCTTTTTTTTGGGAGGAAAGGAGGGCTGGGGGCTGTTTTTGAGATTATTTTGTTTCATAGCTCGGTAGTATCCGGCGACTCTGCGCGCAGTCGTCTGTGAATAAGGTACCTTTGCATAGCACTGAGTGAACCACGTGTTCCTACTCATTTACTTACTATACATGTCACTTGTTATTCCGCCTTTTACGAGGCTCTTTCATTTTGTTCACTTGCTCTTATCGTCGAACTGCGCAATCTTCTTAGCCGTTAATTTCCGTCGATACTGACTATTTGTGGTACGTATCCTTTATTGCAAAAGCACAGCTGCATCGGATAGTGCAGATAAGTAAATAACCAATTCAATAACTGCACTAGGTAGCCAGTACTTGGCCAAAGCATTGTGTGGAGGCAAAGAACCACGGCTTCCCGAAATCTCCACGTTTAAAAGTTGTTGCTTCGATCCCTGCCTGTGGCAAGTTATCTTTTGGTCCGCTTCACTTTCTGCACATCAAAATTACTGGTCATAATTACCACATAACAGTCATAATTACAACAAACATAATTTACACTTTTCTTGACACTGTTGTCTAATGGCACTAATATTGCGTCCTACAGTACGTTTAGTAGCTTGTAAATGTGGGCTAGTTGTCGAACTCTTATAGTGGACAAGAAACAAAAAATAGCTACAGGCACGCGGTGCATGCAGCAAATATTGAAACAGTATGTGGCGTTCCCTAGAAAAATGTGCATTCCGGCCGAGTCGTAGGAAGAAGTATGAACTTTTAGTTTTTTCTGCTTATTTTTTTTTCGAATGGTAGCCCTTATACGGGTACACACACTCAAATAAACTGCATGCTTTGCATTCTATGCATATGTATTCTATATCTTCAGTTCTTATTTCTCTATACAGTTTCCCCTTAGTTTATTCCTTAAATTTCTACGAAGGAGTGCTGCAAGATGAAAGCGACCATGGCCGGTGTGCTGCTAATCTGTTGACCTGTCTGGAGTGGCTATGCCTGCCTCGACGGGCATTGTTCAGCTACACGGTGCACTGCCTCTGGACGGAAAGAAAAGATTGTGGCCCGACAAGGTTTGCTGCTTAAATGTTGCGAAAGAAGCGGTAATAAAGGAAACACATATACTTAATAACAGAAAAAGAATGAAATAACTGCCGAAGGCAATGGCAAAAAAAAGTTAGGTGGCAGGAAAAATGTCAAGCACGCAGAATTTATGGAAGTGGGAAGGGAGTAGGGGCAACAACCAGTGAAGGCTGGAAAATTACTTTCTTTTGTTTAGCGATGCAGAGGCAGATACGGAAGATTTATAAGCATAAATGTCTCTCCAGTGGCGACAGGAAGCCGAAGAGAAGAAAATATTGTTGAAACTCTACATACCTTGAAACAAAGTAAGCACCATTCAACAGGGAAATGGCAAAGTGGAAACGCAAGAGCTGACGTACCACAAAGATGTTCTAAAGTGTATTTAAAAAAAAAAACATTGCCTGTGTTGCGTTCGCATGGCCGGAGTTCTACCACACCGGCGCTCATAAAGTTCTTGCTCTTCGCTGGAACGCGACGTTATAGCAGTTTGTGTGCCGGCTGGCAACTAAAAAATAAATAAAGGTGATGACGCAACAAAGTTCCCGCTGGGCTGAATTGTGTGTCACGGGTGGCCGCTTGGGTAAAGCACCCGGTAACTCGGAAAACTCCTTTGAGCTTGCCGCCCCTGCAGCGATGCGGGGCCGCTGAATAGAACGCCTTCTTTCTTACGGCGAGGCGGCTTGAAGGCAGGGGTCAGTTCATCATAAACATTTAGCCCACTGCACTACGCTCCACGACTAAAACAAATAAACTAAATTAATGCAAGAGGAAAAGAGAAAAGAAAGAAGCCGACGCCTCAGAGGCCTCTCACCGATTCCTTTTAATCGGCGCCGTAAACACGTCTCAGCTGTGGAGGCTGGGCACCGTCAGGAGAAGACTGTGTAGCGGAGTTTCCCAGGCTTTCCTTTTGTGTCCCAGTGCCGACAAAGAACGGCCTTCGGAACAAAGCGCGCAGTGAAGGAGTTTATGGACGCCGACATTTACGAGAATCACGTGCGTCCTAGAATGAAGGCGCGCGGTAGAGACCCCACTGACGGTCAGCAGTGCTATGCGCCGTTTATACTTTCACAAATGTCCAGGCAGCTGCTGTGACTATGACTGGCTGAGGTAACTGTATAGTGCTGATTCAAGAATCCAATGTGCAGACTCAAATACAACGGACAAAACATAAAAGAAAAAGAGAAAACGCGAACTGCCGTGAAAACGTTCTTGTAGGAAAAATATGCGCCATAAAGGCTAATAAAAACAGGTGAAGTGAAATTACATTCAGCAGCGGAACGTGCCACAATCATTGAAATGAAGCGGTAATTTTGCTATAGTAATCATGCACGGCTTACGCTGGCGAGATGTCAACGCACTCGCACTTTCGTTAATGACAGATGATACGGCTCTAAATTTGTAGATTAGGAATTGCTCGCACACCTCCTTTTCACTTAAAACCAATATCTATTAGTTGTTATAGTTTATCAAGCGAGTTTCCTGGTATGCTGACGTATATGGCAGGTTGGGAAGAGTGGTAAAGTGTGCCTTCTGTTTATTGAATTTTTACGTAATTTGTGTTTCGGCCTCACCTATATACCGAACTTTACAAGTTGAGCATTCAAGCAGATACTTAGCTTAGTGCGCATAGAAATTGTGTTATTAAAGGGACCCTAAAGGCAAATAGCCCCGCCGCGGTGGTCTAGTGGCTAAGGTACTCGGCTGCTGACCCGCAGGTCGTGGGATCGAATCCCGGCTGCATTTCCGATGGAGGTGGAAATGTTGTAGGCCCGTGTGCTCAGATTTGGATGCACGTTAAAAAAACCATGCAGGTGGTCGAAATTTCAGGAGCCCTCCACTACGGCGTCTCTCATATTCATATGGTGGTTTCGGAATGTTAAACCCCACAAATCAATCAACATTTTAAGGTAAATGTATGGTACACGATTTGAGGTACCAGTGGATTATTATGGTACGAAAGCCCGCGATGGCGTAGTATAGGGCCTCAGTATAATTGTTCGCGAGTACTCAAACTACCCGTGCAAAAAAAAAAAAAAACGTTTCAGGTCATTGCAGGTCGGAATAAGATGCAACCAGTAAATTTCAGCCTGATGCTCGCAAAAAAAGTTCTCATCATTACCCCCGACAACTGCGTTTGCCCCGGGTTGCACTCCGCTAAAGCCTCTTACTTCGTTGCGACGGCTGTCAGTCAGACAAGAGAGCAAAGAACGTGCATGACTACATCAGCGGGCCGTTCTCGGGGGCGGGTGGTTTGAATTGGGCTAACGGTATGCCTACCGCTAAAGCTTACCGAACGGAATGCGGGCCATTAAATCTTCTAACCTCGTCCCCTTCGCAACCTTATCACAACTGCGGTCGTCCCAACTGCAATAGAAAGCTGTACCAATCAATCAATTCAATCAATTCATTCATGCATTCATTCACTCATTCATTCATTGATGAAGTGTAAGTGAGTTAAGCTGGACCTAACAAAATATAGCCTGAAATGTTTTCTCTCATTATCACGCAACCTTTGAGAGCACCGCGGAAATTCCGTCTTTCTTTTCTGGTACTTTTGTCTGCTTACATCATCAACACGCCACTGTGGTTAAGGTGATCGATTCCTGGCCCGAAAGTCGCCGATCCGTATGCCGCATTTGCGATAGAGTCGAAAGTGCTTGAAACTCGTACTTTGATCTAGGCCTACGTTACCGAACCCCAGGTTGTCGAAATTCCGGAATCCCTCCAACTGTGACGTCCCTCGATCATAATGATATCTTGCTTTTGAGACGGTAAGCCCTAAGAAATTATTATTATTATTATTATTATTATTATTATTATTATTATTATTATTATTATTATTATTATTATTATTATTATTATTATATTTCATGAGATTATCTTCCGACGACCACAAGCGTGTAGCCTACAGGAGGCCGAAGCCGACGCAGTAGCTGTGACAAGATCGCAACCATTGCGCGCGATGGAGCGTAGAAATTTCATCTATTACCGGCGCACTGTGGCGGCTCCTTCGACGCAGATGCGGCTGAAACCCGGTGGCGAGGAGGGAGAGGAAATAGTCGCCCCAGGACGCGTCGTCTCCTCCGCGCCCGGCGGCGTAAATCTTAGGCGTCGCGCGCGACTGGCGCCACTACGCGGGCAGAGAGAGCAAGGCGACTTTGGGAAGAGGTGCTTTATGTGTTATTGGCTGCAATTTGCGTTGTGTGCTCGCAGAAAACGTCAAGAAACGCGCGTACGCTCGACAGAGCGTACGCGCCGAGCGAGAAACCGCCGCTGGAGGAATGAAAGCACAAATGTGAACGGGAAAGTAATAAAACAAAAAAAGTGTGCCCGGCGGTGGAAGGGG